CTACTACTCCTTCTCCTACTGCTCCTGCTACTGCTGATGCTACCAATACCAAGCATCGTGATCTTGCTGCTAGCAGCAGCTCGTCTACGGTTTCGGAAAGAAACAGTTTTCCCATCTTTGCCATGCGTCTCGTCGACGCGGGTTCAGAGGGGCCAGCTTGGCTTCGGGACAACTTGGGAAGGCTTCAGCACAAGCCGAAGCCTAATCTCTGACTAAAACCTGCCGGCCTCCTGAAAAAGCAGAAAAGCCTGGCAAGAAAGGGGGCTCTCAGTGCTCCCACGCTCTAAGTCCGCCAGCCAACAGAAGCGTCTCTCCACGCTTCGAAGCTTCTCAGGGTGCAGACACTTCTCCCCCATACCGAAATGAAATAGTAGCCTTTCGCTGAAACTCGCATGACGGAATCGTTTTCGAGCGTGACGTTTCAGGTGTTGGCGGGCGAGGAGTTCGGCCCATCCTTTGCCGCGCGCCTGGCACGACTGGAGAGCTTAATGGCGTCGATGCCACAGCAGCTGGAGGCATGGAATTCGCATGGTTTAGAGTTGAGGTGCTTGGTTTTGACTTGGTGTCCAACAGCCTAGATTAGGTTGGTTCGCGGTGACTCTTGCTGCCTACTACTACAGGTGCGAAGTGTAACGTCGCTGTATTGGGGAGTTCCCGTGCAGGAGATTGACTATGCACGTGCATGTATGTATGGGTATACATATACATATATATATATATATGTATGTATTCATTTATTCAGATTTATGTATTTTCTTCTTGTTTATTCATATTGGTATGTGTTTGTGAATGTTTAACTGTCTATTTTGTCATTCATTTATGTGTTTACTATCTGTATTTGTATTTCTGTTTGTGCTGTATATTATTGAAATATATACATATACATATACATATACATACATATATATATATATATCCCTCTCTCATCGGAGAACAAGTTGTTCCACCTTGCAGTTTCTGCTCTCTTCTCAGGTCAGGATGACTTTAGTTTTTCGCGCGACGGAGACAAGCATGTCTCGAAGCAAATTGCATCTGACCCACGGACGAAGATAGCAAAGCACATGCTTCTCGAACACCAGGACCATGTGGGTAGTTCTCTAGACCAGGGTCCTTTTTCAGTCCTCTAAACCTCCTCTAAACTCTAAGCCCTCTCCCAGCCCCCTGTAAACCCCCTCTAAGCACCCTCTAAAGCCCCTCTAAGCACCCTCTAAACCGCCTCTAAACCCTTGTAACAAGGACCCAAAAGGAACCCTAATTTAAAAAAAAACTACCCATGTGACAAAGAGCTGCGTCAAGCGTGGCATCGTCTCCTGAAGTCTAATATAGGGCCCTTCATAAAAACCTATACTATTTTGGTGTGTTCCTTATTATACTTATGGTATGAGATACCCCCAAAACCCTATTCTAACTATTAAGGCCCTACTATAGGGCTCAGAACACGGGCAACAGCGCCCGATAGCTGAGGGCCCCAGGCGCGAAATCGCGTCGCTCTGATTTTTAGCCATTGCCGCTACCTCGCCGGCGTGGCATCGACATCAGCGGAAAAGAAGGTCCCGGGCTCGCCGCAGACTGCACTCCGGAGCGCGACTTGCTGCTCGACTAGTGCTGGTTTCGGAACACCACGGGACGGACCCCTTCCAGGCTGAGCGGATTCGGCGCCGTATGGGACGCGGAGGCCGCAAGCCGCCATGGCAAAAGGAGCAGTCCTACTCATACTGGCATGGCGCCAGTGCGTATCGCTCGCCGAGGCCGGAAGCCAAAAAAGCTCCAAAGAGCAAGACTTCGTTCCCGGCCTACGACTCTGTGACGGAAGAGGACATCGCGATCGTGGAGGTGCACTCCAAGGGGGGCTCTTCGCAGTCGAGTGGCCTGGTTACGGATGTCCAAAAAGCGCTGAATGCTGCTCGGAAGACGGACCAGCGTCTTACCAAGCTGCGTGGAGAGCTCTCCACAAAGGAACAGGCCTGGAGAGCCTACCTGCAGAAGTCGATGAAGGCCTTTGCCACGGAGCGATCACGCCATGTCCAGGACTGTGCCAGGTTGAGGAACGAAATAGAGGATTTGGAGGGCATGCGAAGAGGAGCGTACGCCAATGTGAAGCAGGTCGCCTTGGAAGCTTCAGGAATGTGCTCGCCAGGACCTGCAGCCGCTTCCGATATGGACATAGAGGTGGACGTGGACGACTCTGCATTGGGAGCAGAGCTCTTGAGGCTGCTGAAGGCTGCTGCGGACGCAGCGGCGGCGAGTGGTGGCGAGGTGGCAACGGTCACACCTGCCAGACCGACCAGAGCAGCACCGCGGACACCGGATCCGGGCTTAGCCCGTGCAGCGGCACTGGCGGTCGAGATTTCCGATCCCTACCTCACATCTCCCTCCATGGCTCAGTTTGGGATCCCGGCTGCGCCACCTGCTCCCGCCCCCAGGGTGGAGCAGATGTATGGAGGTTCTGCAGTGGATGCAGTCAAGCTAGGGGAGACGAGTGCGGCGACTCCGCCTGGTTTAGCAGAGCGCCTCTCCGAGAAAAGGCGTGCTACGAGGCAAGCTTTGGCTCCCTTTGGGCTCCCGCTCAAGATGCCGGCAGCCACCCACGAGCCGGAATCCCGCGACGAGGAGGTGGCACCTACAGTATCGACTCCAGCTCCCTCTTGCTTGGTGGACGACGATGTCGACGAGGAACTACGTGCTGCAACCTCACCTGGTCTTGGCAAACTGGAGTGAGCAACCGTAGGATTGATCCCACCGGTGCGGTGAGCACACACGACTGGTCTGGCAGGCTATCGGTTAGGTGTGCTCCTGAGACCTCTGGTTGGTCTCTTGAGCCACTAAGTTCCGCTGGCCAATGCAGGTCTAGTCTGGTGTGCGCCCACTGTGCGGTAGGGATCGATCGTCCTCACCATGTGTATATACGCTGTCCCTTTTTTCTTAGGGCTGTCCGTCCCAGAAGGTCCCTCTTTTTTGCCCTAACTTCCTCGCTCGCCAGTCTTCCTCGGCAGCGCTGCTCTCCTGGATTTGGAGCCGTGTCTGCCCCCGCCGCTTTCTGCAGCACTTCTTCTGCTGTTGCTGCTTTCGTGCCCCCTTGTCCATGTGATATCTGGGGTCTGCACTGCATCTTTCAGATTAATAGCCCGGTTCCCATAGCGCCAAACACGCATATCGGTGGCTCAGGGATGCGGGCAGGGGCCCGGGCTTGCCTTTCTGACCATGGACTTTTTCCTTATGTTGGCTTAGGGCTCTCGCCTGGCTGCTTCTCGGATGTGCATATGTGCGTGCTTTCCCGATCTTCATGCCCGTGCATCAATTTTGATCGTCGAGCGCGTAAGAAACACATCGGTCGCTCTGGGGTGTTCGCCGACGATGATGCATGCGGGCCTCATGTGTATTATGATGTATGTTCTCCGGGCGTGTGTGAAGCTCTCCTATGGGGGTTCGCCGCGGCCCTGTCTGCGGTTGATTTCTTTCTGCATCTGTACCTGCTGCTCTTCGTGGTCTTGGTACGTTGCCTCCTTTGGCCGCTTTGCGTTGCCCGGAACCCGCTTGGTCGACTTGTCGTGCTACCCTCGCGTGGGTTGCCGCTACAGGTCTTGCTTCCTTTCGCGTCTTGCTCGGTCACGCAAAGTGCCAAGTATCAGGCAGGCTTGCGCTGTAGAGGGATTAAGGTCTTTGGAGGCATACGAGGTGTTGTTCCTGCGTTGCCGCCGTGTTCAGCTGTGCGCTTCTTGCTGTTTTTGCTGGGCTTCAGCTGTTTGCCGCGTTGCGTGTGGGCCGTTCCTCCTGGCTGGTTGGCATCAGGCCTGGAGGCCCATTTGCCTGGCCTTGGTGCACGCGGGGATTGCGATATGTTCGTCCCTGCCAGTGGGCCGAGTTGTAGTGCCATTGCCTCGATAACACCACCACATTTGCCTGAAATTGCCGAGGCTGAGGACTTACGGAGTGCCTGCAAATCCACCAAAAGCAATGGCTTTGTCTCCGTTGAGGTCCCGTGCTCCAGCGCACCAGTTATTGCAACTGAGAGACCTGTCCTTGGGGTTACCGTCTACGCGCCATTTTACATCCCTACCTTCTCCGGGATTGAGGTACCTAATGGGGCTTCGGTTGTCGACTTAGTCTGTGCTGTGCAAGGTCTCGGGCTGTTGCCGGATGAGAGTCTGGACACTGTGGTACCTATAGCACAACAGCGACACTCGTGCTCGTTGGGACTGATTGCCTTTCCATCTTTGCTTCAACAAGTGACGCCGATCCATCATGCTGTGATCTTCGACCTGTCTAGGGTAGGGGGTCATTACCATGCGGCGACTTTGGTTGAAGGTGTCACATTACAAGACTTTCTTTTATGCATTGACACGCTTATGTGGCATAGGCCGGAGGATGTTGAAGTGTGGGTCGGGGATTCTGATTTCCCCGCGTCGTCCGGGGAGCTTGCTTTTACCACCGGCACGGTCTTCACTGTCTTGCTTCGCGGTCAGAGACGTGGCGATAGTTTTGTGGCCGGCCAAATCCTTTCAGACCGTCAAGGATGGGGCCCCTTGGAGCATTCGCCGAGACCCACACGCTCTGTCGGATGCGCTGCTTTTATCGAACGCAAATGGTCACGTGTTCCTTTTCCGACACTTGCTGCGTCTGATTTGGAGGATTCGGTATGCAGTGTCCTTCGTCTCTCTGCCGACGCTTCGCTTGTACACACTGCTAAGCACATGCGTCTTGATCTGCATGGAGACTTCTGTCATACTGTGTACACCAAAGCCTCTTCGGTCCGCTCCTGGCTCATTGACCTGCGGCCCCTGGGTTTCGGTTTGCGTCTTCTGCTGCAGGATCGTCCACCGGAGGCCGCGGACGTTCGAGCGCTGATGACATGCCAAAGACCAGGGGCTATCCTGGATTGGTCGGTTTGTGAACTGCCGCCAGGATGCACGCTGTGTTGCTCAGAAGTCCTCTTTTCCGATGTGAAGCCTGACCACCTGCCTGTTGTTGAAGTGACATGGTCAGCGTCTCAGGAGTCAGCGCAGATGGTTACAGCTGCACGGCTTGCTAAATCAGTTGTTCCTACCGCGGCGGCCGGAGCCCTGCCTGGCACTGATCCTGGTTCTGCTTCGCCTGTGATCGAGTTTCGCAGTCTCCCTCAAGGTACCGAGGCGCTACGTCAGGCTGCACAGGCCCACTTCAACAGAGAGGATAATGAGCATCTACCCGAGCCTTTGCAACGCCTCGAGGGTTTCAACATTCCCGGCGATCCACAGGTTGCTCGTACCGATACCGACGACTCCGGGGATAGCCCTTATAGTCACACTTGGAAGCCCACCTTTGTTGTCTTGGTTCCCGATATGACACCAGAGACGGTACAGGTGACTTTGGTCGCGCCATGTAGCGTTGACGATGCTCTCCAAGCGCTTATCGAGGCGTCTGATGCCGATCGTTATCGCTTCTTTCCTCGCTTCCTTGAGGTGGAGCCGCAGCCCAGCCAGTACTGGGGCACTGTCTTGGCTTTGCCGCCGTGGACTAATGCTGAGTCGATCTCGGTCCTCGACCTCTTGGACATCGACGGCCGCCTGTATGCGACCTACTTACCCAACCCCTTTACCAGGGGACAGGCACTGCATGCAGCGCGCCTCCCTGATGGTGTTGACTATGCCGTCTTTGCGTACGGCCACTTCGTTCCCATGGCTCCCGGTGACAGGATCAATGTACAGGGAGGAGGTAAAGTTTCGTTCCGGCGCGCAGGTGCCGCACATCTTGTGCAGGGACCTTCCCTGCGAACCATGTTGGCAAGTCCCTATAGCTGGGACCCCGAGCCCGTTTTGCCTCTCTTGCCTGCTGACAACAGGGTTTGTGTGGTCCATGATTCCGGGTTTGAGCTTGTAATGGCTGAGCCCTGCTATGGTGATCAGGACTTGTTGTTCTATGCACGTGCTTCAAGCCAGCTTGCGCAGGGGGAGGTCTTGTTTGCCGGTGGCAGACCAGAGGTCCCAAACGTCATGTGCCATGGCCTGCCCTGTGAAACCATCTGTGCCATTGCTCCTCGAGATCCCGGCCAGCAGCAGTGTGTTGTTTTGGTGGATCAAAGGCCGCTGCTCGAGGGATGGTCTCTATGGTCTGTAATTGATGGGACCATCTCTCATGTCGAAATAACAGGCCTACTTGAGACATTTGTGCCGAATGGGTGGCAGGTGCAGGTGCTTGGGGCGCCGATCGATGCAGGCTTCTTACATGTCAAAAATGGAGATGTTCTTATCGCTGAGTTTGTCCCAAACACATCCCCGGAGACGACTCCGCAGCCGGCGTTGACGCCGGAAGATTCCTCTGATAAGGATTCAAGTGGTTCAGAGGACGCCGATGCGGCTGACAGTGGGGTCAGATCCAACCCAAGGACGAGGGATGGCGACGGCCCCAGTGCTCGCCCCGTCGGCGATGCCAGAGAGCGCAGCAGGTCTCCCAGGCGAGGTACTGCCGATGGAAGTCGGCATAGCCAAACGAAGGGTGTCTTCGCTCGGATCTGCGATTGCATTTCCCGCGTGCAGGGCCCCTGCTGTGGCACCTTTCACAATCTTTCACTTCCGCTCTCTGTTGTCGGAGACACCTTCCTGCCTTTTCTGTGCTGTTTCCCTACGTTTACGCAGCTTGCCAAAGGTCCATGCGGTTGTCGTTTGCTGGCCGAGCCCCAGGGCTCTTCTGCCTCTGAACAGCATCACTTGGATACTTTGCGTCTTCTCACTGGTGCACTAGGGGGTGTTTGGCACCCGGCCCTGCCCACCTTTCTCCAGGAATTCTTCCTGCCTGCCGATGATGTTGCCTCTGATGTAAGCGCAGACGAAGGCTTGCAGACTGCTTGGGTTTCATGTGTGGTGCTTAAACTTGACTATGTCCCCGAGAAGGTTACTGTCGCTGTGCATATCCCTTGCACGCAGCCAGAGCTCGAACATGCCTTGCAGGATGCACGGGACCCTCTGATGCGGCGCCTGTTTCCCGCACTTACGGCTGTACTGCCACAGCCTCGGTCAGGTTTCGCGGTGTTCGTTGCGCAGCCGTCATGGAATACGCTTGGCAATGTTGATTGCTTTGAGCTTGAAGGAGTGGACCACAGGCTCTTTGCCGCCTTCTCTCCTGGCTATGTTACGCGCAGCGAGATCTGTGAGCTCGCTGACGTTCCCCCGATTTGGGGAGTACAGGTTTGGGCAGGTCCGGATATGGTCCGCCTGCTGGATGAGGAGCTTATCCATGTCTTCCCTGGGATGCTGATTTGTTTCACCCTCCCCGGCCGACTCCCGCCTGTCGCACACACCTTGGGTGTCTTGCTCCTTGACCCGGAGCTGTGGCGTGACATTGCAGTCCTTGAAGAGCTTACGACCGACTGTGCTCTCTGCTTGGTTACGGAACGCCGCAGCCAGGTTCTTATGCTTCATGCCCATGAGATGCCCCAACATAGGCGTCATGTTGCAGCCGCCACTGGCGTTGAGCTTTCCAGGATTCGGCTGTTTGCTGAACAACCCCAGGCAAGGGATACTGCTATACGGGGGACCTTCTGTCATTCAGTGCTGGCCATCGGCCGGCATGACACACAACAGCAAATTTGTTGGAGTCTTGCCTTGCTTGACTGTCGACCGATTGAGCTTGGATGGCGCTTGGTGCATGTTGCCGGCGGCGTTGTCGACATTGGCCGCGTTGTGGATGCGTATGACCAAGGTGCCCCTCTGGGATGGAAGGTCGTTGTCCTTGATGTCCCGACACAAGTTGGCAGTGTCCCTGCTTTGCCTGGACAGGTCCTTGTTGTTGCGTACGCTCCGGCCCCATTTGTGACATACCCTCTCACTGGCAGGTCCGGCATGACTATGGTCGGCTCCGCTTCCACAGAGATAGAGTCTCAAGCAGCCTCGCGTGGGAGTGCTGGGGATGGTGACGATGTTGTCTCACAGGCTGGAGACGGAGCTCTCCCGGCTACCACGTCCCCTGGCAATAGTGTCGCTCTAGTTGATACTGCGATGTGCTTCGCTTTGCTTACGCCGGCGTACTGTATGGAAGTGGTCACGATCAGGACTGGTCTGCCTACCCGCTTTGATGAAGTGGTTGGCCTCATTCAACGTGACAGGGATGCTACCAGGCAGCATCTGTTTCCCAGGCTACTTGCCGTTCCGGTGCAGCCCCCGTTTTCGTTTGCGTGCATCCTCGCTTTGCCGGCGTGGCCCTTCGAGGGAATCCCGATTGTGCTAGCGTGCTTTGTGCCACCGTGCCGTGTGTTTGCGGCTATCGTCCCTGGTGTTATGCGGCACCCCGCAATCGCGCGCCTGATTGATGCACCTGAGGATATCCCGGTCCGGGTTTATGTCAATGATGTGCCCTGGGAGACACCCATAGATGCGATGGTGTATCTGCACCCCGGTGATCTGATTACCATCGTCCCCCGCATGGATGAGGTCGCCCCTCCGACTCAGCTGGAATGCCTGTTGGCTATAGCGCTTGGGGGTGGCCCGCAGATCCTGAGGTGCCACGCCCTTCCGAGGAGGCCATTTGGTTGCTCACAGACCAGCTAGGTCGCAGGTACTCGGGCCAGAGGCGTGGGAGAGTACCTATGTGGCGTCGTGTTGCAGAGGTACTTGGCGTGCAACCTTCTTCCTTTGTGTTCATGCCTTCGGATCCAGCAATACGCGATCACACGTCGACAGGACTCCCTTCAAGGCATGTCTTTGTCGCTGTCAGTATTACGGACCAAACCCTAGTCCCATACATTTTGGATTTGCGGCCTGTTCTCCTGGACATTGGCTGGGCCGCAGCTCCGAACGGGCGCGTGCTGGTCTCTGACATATGCACGAGACAAGCTCGCCGTTGCCCTCCAGGCTACGCCGTTCGCTTGATGGGCGGTCACTCCCCTCCAGGGGAGGAGAATCATTTTCGTTATGTCAGCTCCGGAAAGGTTCTCACCGTAACCTTTGTCGCGCGCTGGTTGCATCGTTCCCCCCCTCCGGAAGATGGCGGGGAGGACGGGCCGGACGATGATGGAGAAGGAGGTGGGGATGATGGCGACGGGCCGGATCTTACCCAGCCGCATTCCTCTGACCTCTTCTTTGATGCGCCCTCGGTCACGCAGGCTCAGGCGAGCGGATCCAGCTGCATGCCGGCTGTGGGCACCTCTGGTTCTGGTTCGGCTTGGAACAGTAGAGTAGCCATGTGGGACAGGAGTTTCTTGCAACACGCCTTTCTCGAAGGCCTCTCCTATCTCACCCCTGTCCTCCTGTTCCGAACCTGCATTTTTGCCGAGGTGAAGCGAGTTGCTGCTACGCTTCCTTCGCCTGGCTTCCGCTGCCCGTACCTGGGTTCACTTCCTACATCATCGGACCCAGGAGGGCAGCCTGTGCCGAGCAAGGGGCCGCTTAGGTGCCGTGGAATATGTCGGACCATGCATGATGAGGTGGCATTTAACCTCACGTGGCCAGGTCCTCTTGAGGCAGCATGTGTGGCTGTTGCGGGTCTGACGCTTGGATGTCTATGTGTTGGCGCCCTTCTGGCTTTTCGCTCCGGTGGAGACGAGTGTTTACTTCTGCCGTCTCTTTGTTCCATAGGCCTTTCGGTCTGCCACAGGCGCGGGCGCGGTGCCCCCTTTGGAAATGGATGGCTTCTAGGTTGCCTTGTCTATGGTCTGTTTGCAGCGCAGACAGCTGCCGGCATGCATCTGATGCCGCGCCCAGTTGTTCTCCCTGATGGCAATGGACCTGCGATGAGCGTCTCATGCCCCTCTAAACCACGCACTGTTTTCCGGGCTGTTGCTACACCTTGTCGCGGACCGGGAAGGGGTCCCGGTACTTCGACTTTTGTATCTGATGATACGGCATGTCTTCGGATTGATCGACGCGAGCCCGACGCCCTTTCTTTACACGGCTTCGGTCTATGCACTTTGCTTGATGAGTCGGCTCGCCGTGAGGACTGTCCTGCCTTCTACCTTGCAGCCACCCTGCTCGATGCCATGTTTGAGCATTTTCGAGTCGCCCCACCCGCTGTTGTCCTCTCCCTCTCTGATGCCTTGGGCGATGAGGGGGTTGTCTCCTCTGGCGGCTTGTGTGGGCTTGATGGATTCACTACTTCAGGGCCGGAGGTCTTCGATTTGGCAGGTAGACAATGCGTCCTTCCTTGTCGAGAAGCCATGCTTGAAACATTGACTTGTTCCTTCCCTTTCTGCCAGCTGCAGGGTCCCGTGGGCCCCCTTCCCATGTCTGAGCGTTTCGATGACTGGGTGCGGGATTCTCAAATCGGGCGTGCTCCTGCGCCGGGTGAGTTCGTTATCATCACTACGGACGGCTCCTTTGATCCCGACACGGGTTCTGCTGGATGGGCTGTGGTAATAAGCCTGGTGAGCTACGATGATTTCCTTCTCCCCGGTCAGCTTGTAGACTGTGCCTCTGGATCGTTGTGTGATCTCCGGGCTGCCATTGGGAAGGAATTCGGTTGTAACAGTGCTTATCTCTCTGAGATCGCCGCACTTTTCTGGGGTGCTGTTTTTGCCTTTCGTTTGCCTGTAGGAGCGGCCAGGGTCTTCAGGGCGGACAATATGGCTGCTCTTCAGGGTGCCGCCGGACGGGTGCGAATGCGTAACCACCCACTTTGTCACGCTACTGCCTCTTTGCACACTGCATATGGACTCATGCGCGGAGTCCCCTCGTATCAGCATGTGCTCGGCCATTCTGCGGATCCGGCCAACGAGCTTGCCGATGCCCTTGCCGGCAGCGCCTCCCGTGTGGACAGAGGGTTTTCTTTCCCTCCCTTCCAGTTATCTGATTGGTTCTCTCATGCGGGGGCGGCTTTCGCGTGGCTGCCACATGTGTGCTACACTCTACGCACTCCCCATGCGGTCCCTACCGTTCGCAGTGAGGTCATGTCGTGGAGTCGGGGAGATTCTGCTTCGAGTATCTCGCCAGCTGAGACCATGGCCCCCTTTCTACGTGTCTCTGATGGAGAGACTCTTGCCGCAGCGAAAGGGCGTGCCATTTCTGCTGCTGCTGGGCTTGCCTCTTTTAACGCGCTCTCTCTCCTTGAATCGGGAGGGCCTGTTACGAACTCTGGTCTGCATGGGGCTGCCGGACGGGTGAAGCTTGTCTGTGATTCGTTCCATTCTCACGGGATTGTCTTGGCTGGACTCCAAGAATGTCGAACCCCCCCAGGTGTTATGTACTGTCAGGGCTACAGGCGCTTTTCGTCCGGGCAGGATCATAATGCCTGTTATGGTGTTGAACTCTGGATTTCGGAGGCTGGCCCCTTTGATGTTGGTTCGACTATCGTCTTACATGCTGAGCCTACCTTCATGATTGCAGGCCTGACTTTTTACGGTCGCTCCCTGCGTGTTTTGGTGGCTCATGGTCCGCATCGAGTACACACCGAAGAGGTCCGGACCACTTGGTGGCATCGCGTTCAGCAGCTTTGCAGTCTTCATACCCGTGGTGCGTCATGGATCGTCCTAGCCGATGCCAACTGCCGTGTCGGTAGCGTTCGCAGCCCTGGAATTGGGGGACATCAAGCCGACGCTGAAGATCTCTCGGGTTCTCTTTTCCGTCATCTCCTCGAGGAGCTTGACTGCTGGCTCCCGGCCACCTTTGGCAATACCGCCTGGGGCGAGGGGGGCACTTTGTATCAGAAACGCAACGGCGAGTGGGGTCGATCGGATTTCGTCGCTCTTCCTTGTGCGTGGAACTTGTCCCGATGCGCAGCTTGGGTTGAGCCTACCATCTCTGCCGGGCACAGGTGTCTGGATCACTGCGCTGTGGTCGTTTCCTGCGTTGTCTCTTTTCCCAGTGCTTGCCGAAATCGGGCTAGAGCCAGGCGAATTGATGCTAGTGCGCTGGCTTGCCCTGCCAACCGAGCCGCGGTGGAGGACATTCTCCAGCATGTCCCTGTTCCTCCTTGGTCTGTGGACGCTAGTGAGCATGCCGCTGTTCTGGTTGATTACCTCTATAGAAGTTTGGTTGAAGCTTTTCCGGCGGTGAAGCGCCGGATGCACGGTACGCACTTCTCCGAAGAGACACAGCGTCTACACCAGCTCGTTGCTGGGCTTCGCCATTCCATTTGTGCACGAACTGCGGCCTACAACAAACAATACGCTGCTCAGGTGTGCTTTTGCGTGTTTCCGTCCTGGTGGGCCAGTGTTCACTACCGTCTTCTCAGGACGGTGGTTGTGGCGTCTGCAAATCCGCCGAGCTCTGGACTGTATGCTCCTCGGCAGGTTTGGGAAGCGCCTGCGTAGGAGTTGCCGACAGGACAATGCCAATCGCCTCGCTCAGCTGTCTGACCAGATAGCCGCTGCCCCTTGCGCCGCGCTGCACAAAGAGGTCCGTAAGGTACTTAGGCCCAAGAAGTTCCGTAAGGCTTCTGCAGCTCCTCTGCCCCTCTTGCACAAGTCCGATGGCACGGTCTGTGCCTCGCAGGCGGAGGTTACGCAGGTATGGCGGGATCACTTTCGGGTCCTGGAGGCTGGGCAGGAGACCTCGTCCTCTGCCTTGTCCGAAAGATGCCGTGACAGGCAGCTCTCTTTCGAAGGGACGGATGAAGTCGATTGTGCCTCCGTTCCTACTTGGGAGCAGCTTCATGCCTCTTTCAGAGCCACGTCTCCGCACAAGGCTTGCGGCCCTGACCTACTCCCGCCAGTCCTCTGCACGCTGTTCAGTCAGCGAATGACGGAGGCCTTCTGGCCCCTTATGCTTAAGGCAGTGCTCAGGGCTAATGAAGCGGTAGGCCTCAAAGGTGGGGTCTTGCATCGGATTGCGAAGCCGTCTGCCGTTGAGAACACAACTGCCGGTTATCGCGGCATACTTGTCCAATCATGTTTATCCAAGGTTCTGCACCGGGCGGCCCGCCATATGGCAGTACAGCACTGGGATCGCCACGTCTTGCCAACGCAGATAGGAGGGCGTAGGGGATGCCCTGCTTCCTTTAGACATTTCTGCTCACGGGCTTTCTTGGCTATGGCGCGCTCTCGTGGCCAGACTGCTGCGATTCTGTTTGTTGACATTGCGGCCGCCTATTATGGCGTCGTGCGTGAAGCCATTCTGGGTTGCAGAGGCAGCAGTTGCCCCCTTGAGCAGCTTGTTGCTTCTCTGGGGCTCACGCGAGCCGACATGCAGCTCCTTCAGGTTTACATTGAGCAGGAGCCGGTCCTGGCTCAGCAAGAGGCACCAGCGCTTTTTCGTGAGGTCGCCGAGGAGCTGCACCGGAACACCTGGTTTATTTTATCCGGGGATACCCAGGTTGTTGAGACCCACCGTGGCACTAGACCGGGTGGGTCTCTTGCGGATATCCTTTTCAGCATTCTGTTTAGTCGCGTCCTGGGCAGACGCTGCCAGACAACGTTACAGCCCTTTGTGCCGCAGGTTTGCTGGAGCGGTGCAAGGACTCCCTGGCCTGACAAAGTGGATGCCCATGCAGCCTGCAGTGTTGAAGCAAGTGACGTTGTGTATGCGGACGACCTTGCCAGCTTCCTGGTCTGCGCTCACGCGGATGCGGCGTCCCATATGATTTCCAGTGTTGCTGCTGACACGATTGATACACTGCTTCCGCACGGCCTCAACGCCAACATAGGGCCCACTAAAACCGCAGCCTTGGTCGTCCCGATGGGAAAGGGCTCCAAAGCGGTTAGACGTAAACTTTTCAGTGAAGGCAAAGGCCGGCTGGTCGTGCTGCCTGAGAATAGAGGAGGTTTTCGCCTTGACCTTGTGCCTGCCTATAAGCACCTGGGTTCCATAGTGACTCATGATGGATGCCTTCTTCTTGAGATTCGGCACAGACTCTCCGCTGGACGCTCCGCCATGAAGGAAGGCAAGCAGCGTCTTTTTGCCTGTAAGCGCGTACCGCTCGCCCGACGGGCCAGCATCTTCCGGGCCCATGTGCTGTCCGCGGTTTTGCCGGGGGTTGGCACTTGGCGCAAGTTGCAAGGGCAGGAGTGGGCCGTCTTCTCTGGAGGCATTGTAAGTCTCTATCGCCACCTTTTGGGTTTACGCACCGAAGGGGGTTTCCGCTGTACTGAAGCGCAGATCTTGCATAGGGCGGGTCTACCCTCCCCGCTCTCCCTTTTGCAGGTTGAGCGATTGAGATTCTTGGGACAGCTGGTCAGGCATGGTCCTGATGCTGCGTGGGCTTTGCTCTCGCACTATGATGGATTTCAAGCTGGGCTTCGCGATGCCGCGGACTGGCTGCTTGCCGCGACTGGTGTCTCGGATGGACTACCCGACGTCCAGTGTGACTGGGACTCTTGGGCTCGTCTTATTTTGGAATCTCCGGGGCGTTGGAAGGCCATGCTCAAGCGTGAGGAGGCATGGTACTCTCTGCGCGACGGGCAGATTGCTTTGCTTGACTGCTTTGTGCGAGAGGTTTGGACGAATCGCGCTGTTAGTCGCCCCACTGCCATCTCTCAGTGCGAGCACGCTTGCCTGCCTTGTCGCATTGCTTTCCGCACAAGACAACAATGGGGTGCGCATGCGCATAGAGCTCACAACTATCATTCACGTGCGCATCTGGTTGCGCGCGGGCGCACCTGTCAGGCTTGTGGACTTCAAGTCTCCTCCGAGGGCAGGTTGCGTACGCACCTTCGCTTGAGTCCGATGTGTGTCGCGCGAGTTGAGGCTCTAGCCGCTGCTGGACCATTGGTTATCGATTCCTCTGTCGGTCATGTACAGGCACCGGCTGTGCCGGGCATTGGCAGGCGTTCGCTGGATGTCCCTGATCCGGAGGTTTGCCCGGCCCTGGAAGCATGTCTGGCGACTTTTCAGCCTAGCACCGTCGATATCGATGACGAGCTCTTCCAGCTGGTCATGCAGCACATCGCGCCCCTACCTGCACTGCGTCGTACGCTCGAGGGCTGGGCCTCCAGTCTGCCTGCGGACCTGGTGCAAGCTGCCGCCGCAGATGTCCTGCTCATTCTACATCCTGAGCATGTGTGTGATAGGGTGGCCGGACGTCCTACCGAAGCGGACGATGTGCCCTTGTCTTACCTGCCGGTTCTGGATGTTCCCTTGGCAGTCCCGCGTGCGCCGTTGTTGCCTATTTTGCACAATTGCACTGTGCCTTATGTGTGGGGGGTTGTATACTCTCTTCAAGCAGCACCGCTCCGCTTGGTTTCCTTTGGGTCTCTCACGCAACATGCGGGGTGTGCTTGCGCCGGCATCTGCCTCGAGTTTCCGGCTCCCCCTGAGCCGCTCCTGCCTGTCTTCCGCCCCCCATCCTGTTCTGTCCGCTCTCTCCGCGGCCTGTGTGACTGGACAAGCGCTGCCCTTGACACGCTTAAGTTCCTCATTGCCCAGGCCAGGTCAGGCTGCCCAGTACTTGTCAGGTTCCCCGTTGACAAGGCTGACTTGCAACCTTTGACCGATTGGATTGTCGGCATGACGGGACCCAGGGACGAGGAGACAGCATTTCCAGCATGTTTCACCTTTGAATTCAATTGTTTGCGTTTGCATTAGGCACGTCTTTTGGACATTCCGCCTACCCGAAAGAAAGAAAAGGCCCTACTATAGAACCCTATTATAGATCCCTTATAGAACCCTTTAATAGGAGCCCTTTAAAGGCGCCCTATTCCAATTCTTAAGGCCCCCATGTTAGAGGCTTTGCCCCTGAAGCCTGAAGCCGAAATTTTCAACTCTTCTTACTTGGAGGGTCGGGGGACTTAGTTAGTAGTTATTATATAGATTTAGAAGTATCAGAACCCCAATTAGGGTTCCCTTTAGGGTACTTATAACTCTATTTACTGCCTACTGACTAAGTCCTCCGACCCTCCAAGTAGACCCTAGGGCTCCGCAACCCGAAGCCCCGTCCTAATTGAAGGAAACTACAGGTGGGGAGTTTAGGGTATATAGAGTTTAGGGTTTAGGGTATTAGGGTTTAGGGTTTTGGGTTTAGGGGGAGTTTAGGGTATGTAGGGCTTCTATAAGGTATATAGACTTTCTATAAGGCTCCCATAACGGTAACTACCCACCTGAAAAATGTCCTAGACCTAAGGATTGAAGTCTTTCTGAGTACCAAGCCCTTAAGCTGAAGCCTGAATCCGAAGCCCTAAAGCCCCCAGGCCTTAGATCTAAAACTCTAAATCCTTAAACCCTACACCTGAGACCCTGAAACCCAATGCTAAATCCAAAGCCCCACATTCAGCTGCCGCCACGTATGTTACATATAAATGCGCATATATGCCTGCATAAAATTTACTTACTTACTTACACACACAATCAATATATATATATATATATATGTAAAAAAAATATGTATATATATATATATATATATATATGTATATATGTATATATATATATATAGACAGAGATATACGTATACGAATGCATGAGAAACTCGCCGTGAGACCTTGCACCGACGCATCGACGGGCTGGTCTTCACCGGGGCCCCGGGGACGTTGGGAACACCAGCGGAGCGGCCCAAGGAGGTGTGAACCCGGGAGCAGCCCAGAGACTCCAATGTCCGTTAATTAAGGAATATACCTTAAATTATAGTAGGATCCCTAATATGATTTCAGGTATATTCCCTAATTAAGGGGTATTGGAGTCTCTGGGAGGGTTTTTGGGGCTTGGGGTTCAGGGTTTTTGAGTTTTTGGGGTATAAGGGTTTTGGGGCTTGGGGTTCAGGGTTTTCGAGCTTAGGGGTATCAGGGTTTTGGGGTATTAGGGTTTCGGGGTTTAAGGGTTTAGGGTTTGTGTGTTTAGTGGTTTGGGGTTTAGCCTGCACCAGAGCATCCATGGGCCAACCATGAAAGCGCCCACACAGCCCCGATCCGGTGCCAAAGAGCATCCATGGGCCAAGCATGATAACATCCACGCAGACCCCATCCGTTACGGCACAACATCCATGGGCCGAACCATGGCAAACATTCGTCATCAGCTCAGGCAGGGGGTGCTTGAAACCGCCGCCCCAAGATGCTTTCGGTCGCCTGGAAGGTTTCCAAAACAGACACGCCAACAGCAAATCCTCATCAGTAACACCTGCACTTAGGGTCTAATTGCCCTTCCCTTGAAGCCTGGCGAAGTCTTGCAAATTCCGTGTTAGCATCCAAACATGGGTTTTCGTCCTGCAACACGAAATCCGACAAGCGGTTCGTGCGAGAGGGTCTCAACTTGGTTTTAGTTTGTTATCAGAATTCGGTCCTGGAAGATGACTGGCTTTTCCGTGTTTCCTAACCTGAGAAAACACCGTAAGTACCGGTGCAAACCTTACTTTGTAGAATTGTGGACGACAGACGTGGCGCAGCAAGACGAAGGGACTAAACGTCGAGCTTTTGGCGACTGTGGAGTTCAGGGTTTGGGGTAAACAGGGGTTCTATGAGGGTCTTCGGCTTATGGGGAGGTTTAGGGTTTAGGGCCAGTGATGCTTCACCTTTTTTTCAATATCAGATTGGGTCCGACTTGATTGTGTCTGGAAAAGAGACTCGGCCTAATCACGGTCGGGTGTTTGCCGGGCTTTACAGTGATTTCATGGGGTTCTAGAAGGGATTTGGGGCTGCTTACTGTCGTTTGGGGCTTGTGCTTGTGGCCTTGCCGGCCGTGAGAGACGAAAGCCAACCTGGCCCTAGACTTGCGAAACTCTAATGCATCTCCCACGACCTGCAAAACCGAAGCGAGTTTAGTGCTTAGTTTTGGGGTTTAGTGTTCCGAACCCTAGATCTTCAGGAACAGTTTTCAGATGCCAGTACCGGAGACCTGCAACCCGTGAGCACGAAGCCTCCGAAGAGGTCAGAATGGAGGACATTGAGGGTCACAACCCGGCTGCCTCCATCGCTGGTACCACGGACGTTTTAGCATCGGCGACGTCCCAGCCCCTGAGGTAGAGTTGGCATAAAGATTTAAAAAAGAAGGCTGGCTCTTTGAGTGTATGATGCTGCTTACCGTCTTTGTTGATGCGTCCTGTGAGGAGGGCCTACTAAGGCCTGCTCTGAAGGTTTGGGGGGCATGATGTGCGACACCTAAACCCTAAACCCTAAACCCTTAAACCCTAAAGCCCTAAACCCCCAAACCCTAAACCCCTAACTACGACTGTTCATCTCTTGCCGGTGACATCTTAGACTCCCCAGAGACCCCAATACCCCTTAATTAAGGAATATACCTTTACATTATAGTAGGATCCCTAATATAATTTAAGGTCTATTCCTTAAATCATAGTCGGATCCCTTATATGATTTAAGGTCTATTCCTTAGTTAAGGGGTATTGGAGTCTCTGGGCCCCCTCCGCTGCACCGCTTCGTCCTCCAAACCTTGTCTCTGCCCCTTCTGAGCTTTTGAAGGCCAAGGCCTCACGAAGTGGGATTTCAGTATACAGTACATAGTATAGTATACAGAAAAAGTACATAGTATAGTATATAGTATAATATATATATATATATAATATATATATACATAGTATAGTATAGTATATAGTATAGTATATAGTATAGTATATAGTACAGTATATAGTATAGTATATAGTACAGTATATAGTATAGTATATAGTATATATATATATAGTATAGTATATAGTAGAGTATATAGTAGAGTATATAGTATAATAAATATATATATATATATATATACATATATAGTATAGTATATAGTATAGTATATTGTATAGTATATAGTATAGTATATAGTATAGTATATAGTATAGTATATAGTATAGTATATAGTAGAGTATATAGTAGAGTATATAGTAGAGTATATAGTATAGTATATAGTATAGTATATAGTATAGTATATAGTATACTATAGTTTTATGGGGGACGATTCGGGAGCATGATGTGGGAACTCAGCGTTGCAAGCCTTCGCCAGCCAGAAAGGGGCATTAGTTCCGGAGCGCCCAGTTCTGTTATCTTGCTGCAGCTCCCCCGTTGTTCCGGAAACCCAGAGACTCCAATACCCCTTAAGGAATATACCTTAAATCATATTAGGGATCCTACTATAATTTAAGGTATATTCCTTAATTAAGGGATATTGGAGTCTTTGGGCCCCCGTTGTTCCGGAAAGCTTCCGCAAAAATGATCGCCACCAGGGCCTAGCCCAGAGTCCAAAAGCCCAGGTTCACGGCACTTCACCAGGAGCTGACGAAGATCCGCCAGGAGAGCGAGAGGGAAGCTTAGCTCTGCAATAAACTTTTTGGGTTCTTATAACTTAGTAGTCATCTGAAAGTTTAACCCAAACCCTAAACCCCTTAACCCTAAACCCTTAACCTTGTATCTCCCTGCCTCATTGGGGAAGTACTTAAAGGTTCATGTCACTTAGTAACTAGGGTTATAAGTAAGGTAACTACACTTATACTTATAACCCCAAGTAAGCTACATAGAACTGTACTTATTAAGTCCCATGAACCTCCAAGTAAGGAAGAGAGGGAGGAGGAGGAGGCGCAGAGAAACGTCTCCGGGAAGCAAACTCGGCTCCTCGGCTCCCTTTTTTTATAGGAGTAGGGGTTTAGGGTTCAGGGTTTAGGGTTTAGGGTTTGAGAGGGTCGTAGTTTAGGGGTGTGGGGTTTGGGTTTGAGGTTCTAGGAGAGGAATAATGTAGGGGCCTTAATAATGGCCTATACTATTTTGGGGGTTCCTTATTATAATTCTAGTATAACGGGCCCCCAAAAACCCTATTCTAATTATTAGGGCCCCTATATTGTAGGAACAATGTAGGAACCTGATTAAGAAATCCTGGGTCCTGATTAGGGCTCTTGAGATGAATCCTACTATTTTGGGGTTTACATGGCCAGGGTTTCTTAATCGGGTTCCCACATTCACAGTCATAAAAGGAATAGGAGCAAATAGGAACTTGCATCATTGACGGCCATGCTGGTAGTAATAGTAATCCTAAGCCCTAAACCCTAAACCCTAAACCCTAACAATACTGATTCATTATCGTTAGGGTTTAGGGTTTAGGGTTACTATGAACAATGATGTTATAGGCTTTCTTTTGGGTTTTTTTATGGCTTTCTTTTGGGTTTAGGGGGGGGGGGAGGAGGCCGTCAGGCGCCTGCTGGGCCCCTGCATTCTTCGACCTGCAGCTGCGGCCTTCCTCCCAGGGAACCCAGAGACTCCAATACCCCTTACTTAAGGAGTATACCTTAAATTATAGGGGCCTTAAAGGGATCTATAAGGGTTTAGGGTTTCCCAAAAGGATCTAAAAATTTCTAATTCTTAAGGGCCCCTACTATAGATCCTTTATAGAGCCCTTTAATATTAAGGATTCCTTTAAAGGAAACTTGTTCTAAGGGCCCTACCCAAACCCCCAAAAGGATCCAAAAATAGATCCCCTGAGGGGGTTCCTATAAAGTAAGTACCCTTTAGTAGTTAGGGTCCCGAATTGGGGGATCTATTTTTTAGATCCTTTTGGGGGTCTGGGTCCCAGGTTCACGTTGGATTCCCCAAAACCCTAAGACCCCTTAGACCCTAAAG